CATCAGAATGAGAGTCCAAATAGCTGATAAAAACATCACAATAATAAACTGTTGCTTTCAGCCAAAATATAAGTCGATAATGCATAACAGTTTCCTCCAAGTTTAAAATTAAAATGCCTTGATGGATTTTTGTTTATTTTAAACACATTTTAATTTCACAAGACGTTAACTAATGGACTGGAGTGGTGTGGACTACTTGTGGATTATTGTTATTTTAATCCTTCTGCTTTTCAGCGGTAGGTAAAGTACTGGGGTCCTATTGGATAAAATCTAGTCATTTTAGCTCAGGCAAACGGTGTCAGTGTTTTTATCAGCTGTTTGGACTCTTAATCTGATGGCACCCATTCACTGCAGAGGATTCACTGGTAAGCAAGTGATGCAATGCTAAAATTTCTCTTAATTTCCGAGTGAACTATTCATTTAAAAAGTATTCAATAACTTTAAGGAGCATACTGGGATTGTTCAGAATTTTCTGATTGTTCTGTTCTAAGTTTGGGTTTGCAAGAGTGACAAAACAGAAGATGGCTAGACTAGTCTCTTCTTGAAATACATGCGCTGGTTGAGCCAACACTGTTTGCCTGAGCTAAAACGACTAGATTGTATCCAATAGGACCCCAATACTTTACCTACCACTGAAAAGCAGAAGGATTTAAAAAAACGGAAATACTGTGTGCAAAGTGTAGGATGAAAGCATATTGGTAATCACCAAAAGCCTATTGTCTCTCCAACAAATAAAACACTGATAAAAGTGCAAGTGCATCTGAAAAGATCCCAGATATTCATGCTACACGTCCAAGTGCTCTGGCTCCAATAATGTCTTAAGGCAAAAATATAACTTTTTTTTTTACTAACAATACCTGCCGTTTCCTGGAAATAAAAATAACAATAAAACCGATATAAAAAATTGGCAAGAACTGCTACTACACCTTGTACAATAACTAAAAGACTTAACATGAGTAACTACTGCATAGATCCACAGCTATTTTCAAATGCAAACACAAATTCCTGATAAGAAACGTCTCTTCAATCAAAATGTACAAAAATATCTGTTTGGCCAGTTAAAATGATAAATGCAGGGAGTAAGTCCATATCAGCACTGCATGTTCACACAGCACTTCATAAAAAATTGGCATTTAAAAAACCGCTGTGAAGGCACCGAGGCCAGGCAGGGTGAGGATACAGGGATGAGGGAGGATGCTGCAGTCAGCTGGGAGACACTTGTGTGGGTATGACAGAAGGAAGGTGGAAGGAGGAGCATGAGTCTCTGCGGTGTATGAGTTTAAAGAGCAGCTCCTCTTTCTCCTGGCTGAGCTTCCGGTTCTGCAGAGACTGCTTCTCTAGCGCCTCCTGCAGCTCGTTCTGCTCCTTGGACAGTTGTCTGAAAGAGGACGACAACAGTTTATGGAAAAGCGGAAAATAATATTATATCAAGAAAAAAATTAAAGTCTTTATTTTATGTAGACACATACATTCAGTCTTATACAAACTTCAAACTGATAACTCGGCAATCCTGGAAATAGCAAGGGAATGTTATTAACAGCATCTAAAACGCCAGGTGGCGCCCCATACAAGCATTTGAGCTAACAAACCTTCACTCTGACACTATCAGTGCAAGAATAAAAATGACACCAGGAAAACTTACATTTAAAAAGCTTTTTATTATATTTGGACAATAGTATGTTAGAGACTAGCAAGTGACACTGTATCATATTTGAGACACAAAGGCCTCTAAATTATCAACATGATCAAAACTTTGCTGATTTCTGTGAAATCTTTACTTTAAGTAAATGTAAGAGTATTATATTGTTAGTCATTTTTCAAGATGAACACTTGCTTTTTTTCATCATGTTAAAATGCATCAAATATGATGCATCAGGCTTTTGAAAAACATTTATTTATTTCTCTATCGTCATTGTATTGCATGTCATTATGACAGTGACAACTAGTATTTATATGCATTTTATGCATGGAGTCCTACTGAAGTCCTATACTGTTATAAAGATCTCACTGATTTACATTACAAGCTTTTAGAATTTGATCTTACTTTTTAGCTACACAGCAACACCTGCACAAAATTACATATTCTTGCTTCAGTATGAGCTCCATTATTCTCTTATATCATATTATATGAGCCATAAAAGCCTGATGTATCAAAAATGATAAAAAAAAAAAAAGGTTTGCATGTTTTTTTTTAAGGACTAAAATGTTTTATCTAAAGGGTCAATAAAATGTTCCCTTAAAAATATCTTACTATTATTTCATATATCAGGTTTGCAGGGTTAAACAAAATTAAATAAATAAAAAAATCTCAGTCTATTCCATTGCCATATCGAATCTTCATAAAATCCTTGTAAAATTTCAGAGATGATGCATGTGCTACTACTTACATTCCCAAACAGAATTGCAATAATTCCTGCCACTGGCTGGACAAACAAATAGTCCTGCCCCAAACACAATGAGCAGAGCAATGTTTTGATAGCACTACAAAAGCACAGTCACAGTGCTTGCACATTTTGAGAGGATCAACCCCTAAAAATTAGGGATGCTCCGATCAGGATTTTTGCAGCCGATACGTAGTACCGATTTCTTGTCATGGTGATCGGCCGATACCGATTCTGAT